GCCTCGAACAGGGCAGTGGGGCCGCGGGTACACAGCACCGGGCGCTGCCGGTCCGGTCCGGCCTGGCTCGAGCTGCGGCCTGTGCCTCTCTTGTTCCTCGAAGTGCAGAATTACGCATAAGCTCTAAAAACGCCCTCTGTCTGCTGGCAAACAAACACCGGGGCTCTTGTGAAACGCACCGACAACATGAAAGGCCTGGCAAGGGGCGTCCGAGATTCCAATCGGAGAGCGGATCAGGGCAGCTCCCTCCACAGAGCAGCCAAAGCCATTTCCGAAGTCCTCTTGGAACTCAGGGCCAAGGTCAGGCTCTGGATGGGGGCCAGGGAGAGGAAGCCAGGGAGAGGAAATAGTCAACAAACGTTTGCAGGCGGCCCTGGGGGAGGGCCCTTTGCCCGGTACTCTCACCTTATCCTCCAAACAGCTTCCCCTCAAGGAGGTGTAATGGTGCCCGTTGTCCCAGGGTAAAAGCCCAGAGAGGTGAAGCAACTTACCAAAGTCACACAGCAAAACACCAGGCCTTCCAGCCTCACCCAGGTCCTCCTGACCCCAAGACCAGGGTCCTTTGTATTTACTCATCCAAAGAGCCATCAGGTCTGGCACATAGTCGTGATCGTTCCCCAGCCTTGCTCATGACCCCTCTCCAGGCAGGTTCCACCGACAGCCCGCTTGGCAGATGATAAACTGTGCCTGGCCCAAGGTCCGGCAGATACTAAACACCAGAGCCGGATCTGAGCCCACGGCCATGGGTTCACCTGCCTCCAAAGGCACAGACAAAGTCTAGGGCAGCACCCATGTGACGGCCATGGCCTGAGAGGAAGGGGAAGAGAAGAGAGCAAAACCACACCCTCCAAAGGACACCGAGGCTGAGTCCCAGGGTGAGCCGGTGTCACCGCGGGGCTAAGCCATCCGCCCAGCCTTTCCAGAAGGTGGGCGCGGGCTGCAGGAGAGGCCACTGTCCCTGCTGGTGAAATGCAACGTGGTCTTACCAGCACCCGCTGAAGGTGGTGGCGTTCTCGGTGGCAGCTGGAGGGGCGGCAAACTGCCACTGCACGCAGGGTCACATGCAGGGGCCCTGCAGAGCCGGGGGAGGAGCACAGGTCTCACTGCAGCAGTAGTGCGCGCAGGAGGCCCAAGGGCCATGACCCCTCCCTTCTCCCCAGGCCTGAACCCCTGTGCCAGGCGCTCGCTGTCTGAGGATGCCCTGCAGAGGGGACTTCTTTTCACGTCTGGGGAAAGGGGCCAAAGCAGAGCAATGAGAGACGCCCACCTGGCTGCAGGAGGGCTTCGGTGGAAATCCTGGCCAGTGCTGGGGCCGTGCTTACGAGCCCCGCCCCATAACTGGGAGGAACCCTTGGACTGCAGGCCACCTGCCCACACACGAACCCTCCATCCTGCAAGACCAGCTCTAGGGCCACACGACCTGGTTCATCTCTCCTGTCTCTAGGTTTTGGAGACAATTACTTGTGGCTTTGTGACCCTTCTCGAATCGCACCCAACAAACACGTACCAGGCACCCTGGTATTTTCCTCCCCAACACCCCAGAAAGAGCCCTGAGTCAGCATGATCTGGCCACCTCCAGGCCCAGCAGAGGTGGCGCAGGGAGGGACAGAGCTCAGGCTCTGAAGGGCACTGCCACTGAGATGGCACGGCTGGGATCAGGCTGAGAGCCCTGTGTGGCTCTGTCTAGCAGGTGGCTGGCACGTGGTCACACTGAAAGCTGTCCTGGGTGCACAGAAAGGCACCTGGGCACTGCCCTGCAGTGACAGCATCAGATGGCAGGGGGGCTGCTGGATTTGGGGTCTCTGGAGGTGGCTCTTTAAACCCAGACTCCGCCCCACATCAGGTGACACTGGGGCTGCTGTTTCCAGCTCTCAATACTCCCTGGCCATCAGAGGTCTGTAACTCCACCATGGGAGTAAGACCCAATTTCCGCAGGCCAAGGACCCTGCATTGCAGCAACCTGCTTTAGGACCTCCTTACTCCCTTCTCCGAGGGAGGACACTCAGGCAGATGCTCCCCAAACACCCACTGGCAGAGGTGTGTGTGGTTCGGAGCCTTCTGTGAGCTGGGCACTTGGCCGGGGGCACGGCACGGACGAGTCATGTGTTGTGCTGCCCACGAGGCATTCACTGTCACGCGGGGCACAGCCCGGCCCGGTGCCAGGAGCAAGACTGATGGAAAAGCCACACTGAAGCGAAGGAAGTGGCTGTGCTTTACTCGCGAACACACTTTAGTCAGGGGGACCTGGGTCACCTGCCTCCCCGTGGCATCCGTGAGTTTTGGAAGAGATGAGGCCACGACACTTGGGCCCAGGGCACAGCTGGCCCTAGCGTCAGCCTGGAACCAGCCCCTCCAGCCTGTGCACAGATCTGCTGCATACGCGTGGCCGTGGAGACCCGGGATCCAAGGTCCTCAGAGACGACAGGCCAGGCGGCTCCAGGGGTGAGGCCACTCCAGCTGTCCAGGGTGAGACCTGCGGCGCCTACGCCGCCCCGGTCTAAGGAAGTGGCTGAGGCTACTGGCTGGGGGCTGCTGCTGCAAAGCACCCTGGGGGAGAATGAAGGCAGTGAGACGCTGCTCACCCTTCTGGAAGCTGTAAATTAAGGTCAAGGTGCCGGCAGGATTGGCTCCTGCTGCAGACAGAGTCGGCCTCAGGCCTCCGTGCTGGAGCTTTGCTGGAGACCTGTGGTGCTCCTGAGCATGCAGGTGCACCAGCCCGGCCCCTGCCTTTACCTGGCACCCCCTGGGGTTGCGTCTGTGCCCACATACTCCATCTGTGAGGATGGTGGTCCAGTGCTGAGGTCCAGAACTTCTCACCCCCTTCTCTGAGGGAGGAAACCCGGGCCGATCCTCCTCGTGCTTAATGACAACAGCGATGACTCTACTGCTACGCAAGGTCACACTCCAAGGTCCGAGGAGTCGGGGCCGCAGCGTGTGAATTTTATGGGATAGCACTGAACAGTGACACGCAGGGAGTGGCTGTGATCCAGCGTGCTCTACAGCAGGCTGCGAATGCTGACTACGGAGCCAGGTGTCCACGCTCACGGGCCACCCAGACCCCGCTGCAACCTCTCAGCTCTGCCACTGCAGGAGGAAGGCAGCCTCGGGAAGCAGGTGGACCCATGGGGACGTGCATGCCAATAAAACTTTATTTACACGGACAGGAGGGAGCTGGATTTGGCCTGCAGCCAGCTCTGGTTTACTGAACGCTGCTCTCAGAAAACCAGCTGGGACTTTGGAATGAGACAGGCCTGCGCCTGGATTAGAAGCTCTGTGGCTTTGAGCCAGTCACCAAATCTCTCCGGGCCTCATGCGTATCTGTCTGGCAGTGCTGTGACACCCGTCTCATGGGGCTGTGAGCCTCCAGTCGACTTGGCTGCTGGTTAAACATTAAGGCCTGCCTGTTCGGCTCCGACGTAGAGGATGTGCTCATCTGACAAGTGCTGGATCCTGCTGAGCTCAGCCACACGGTCTGGAAGCACACAGTGTAGACAGTCCCAGGGAGAAGAGGATGGTGAACACCCCACCCTGAGCAGGCAGCTCTCAAGCACCCTCAGAGCCTCCCAAGCAGGACGGATGTCACCACCCCACCCCACATGGCAGGTGGACCGTGGACTGTCGGGGGCTTGGGGACCGGCCCAAGGCCCTGCAGATGCTGTGCAGCACAGCCCATCAGTTCAACCTCATGTTAGTCACCTTTCCATCACTGTGACAAAATACCCAAGACAAACATCTTTTAAGGAGGAAAGGTTTACCTTGACCCCCAGCTTTGGCGGGGGTTTCAGCCCAGAGTTAGCTAATCATGGCTGGAATGTGGGACAGAGAAAGTGCTTCCCTTCATGGCAGCCAGGAAGCAGAAAGAGAGACGCGGGCTGGGGCTGCAGGATCCCCTTCAAAGGCAGGGACAACCCTACTGACCTAACTTCCTGCCTTGGCCACAACTCCTAGGGTTCTACCACGGCATCGCAGGCTGCGGACAGAGCCTCTAACTCCTGCACCCAATGCGGCACTCAAGAGCCAAACTAGAGCGCTCACCATGACCCAGAGAGCCCAGAGACAACACACAAGTGCCATTCCATGGCCTGAGAGCCGTCCCTGCAGCCCGTGGTTCCTGAAGTCCTTCTCCCCATGGCCTGGCCCAGTCCGGCCTGAACCCCTGCTGCTGAGCTGGGTGTCTTGACTGTCGCCCTCCTGAGCTCAGCGGCTGTCAGCGGAGTGGGGACCCCACCCAAGCAGACACTAACAAGGACAGGGACCAGCATAAAGAGCTGGTGGCATGGCCCTCCTACACCCAGCAGGCACCACATCCGGCAGGCTCAGTGCCCACGGAGACCCAGAATCAATGGGTCGTTGGGCACCCTGAGACCCGGCGCCCAAGAGAGCCCATCTGAGGGCAGCTGCTGCTTCCCACCGGGACCCCTGCAGCAGGACAGGGCCACCCTCATTCCTTCAGGGAGCCCGTCCGGTTCCAGCTGGGCCTGTAGGGTGTGGACAGAGAACGGCGAAGCCCAGAGGGACACCACCTCTGCCTGGGAACATGGCCTTGCTCCTTTCACCCTGGCCCGCCGTCCGGACGGGGAGGGGCAGGAATTCCACGGGCCCTGGAGGAAGCCAGGACGTGGGGAATAGCCTAGGCCACGGGGCAGGTGACCAAGGCAGGGCCTGAGGCCCAGTGTGGGGAGAAAGCAGCCCTCTCCCTTGTACGGCCTTCCCACCTGTCCTCCTCCTCTTCAAACTCACAGCTGGCTTTCTGAGTCTTTCCTCTGAGTCTCGGATCTGATCCCCAAATCCGCTCTGAGCCCCAGATCCTATCCTCTTTCCAAAGTTCTGGGCTGGTCGCAACACTCCCTGCCGAAAGCCGCAATGGCTGGAGGTCTGCAATGGTCTTTCCTGGCCTGCACCTCCGTAATCTAACGTTCGATGCAGCAGAGTCTCACAGGGACTCCCTCCTCTCCAGTTCTCCACCCCGTACCCTACCTCCCAGTCTCTGGCCTTACAAAGCAAGGTTCATTCCCACTCTGCCCTGTGGGCTCCCCCCAGTTCAGGGCTGTCCCCTCCCATCAGTCTTGGGCCGAAGGTCTGAGTCCAGAGTGACCAGCTCCGGCCACCCTGCACGGAGAAGCCACCTCCTGTTTCCGGCATGCACGCGCCGATATCTCACCTCTCCCCCGTCTAATCCCAATTCATTACTTGTCTTGCGATTGCGCCTGGGCTGGGAGCGGGCTGCAGAGCTTCCTCCACTCACTGTGATCCAATACTTGGTACAGCCTTGGCCCGGCATGCGGCAGGCACAGCCCATATATCAGAAAAGAGCTAACTACGCTCCTGGTACCTGGCAGAAGGCCTGCTACTGTGAGCCTGATAAACGCAACAGAGAAAAGAGCAGCAGCCACGGCTGCACGTGGGGGGTCCGCTAATTAATTACCCGGGTGAGTGTGCAGGCCCTAGTGCCTGGGGTCCGAGGACCCTGCGCCAGCCTCCAGAGGGGCTCAGCCAGGGATCCACTGGCGACACCCTCCCCACAAGCAGCCCGTGCTTAGATTCCGAGTTGAGCTCCACCTTCCTGAGGGGCACCAGTGGGCTGAGGGCAGGTCAGCTCCCCTCTGCGTCCTTGAGTCCCACTCGGGAGGAGTGGCACATGTGCAGAAGCCCCGTCAGCAGCCCAGGGCCCAGGACTCCTCTGCGGCCTGGCCAGGCTGGCACCAAGCTGACGAGTGCAGCCTCCTGAGAGGCACCAGCCCCGCACAACAGCGAATCAGCACTTCCTGGGATCAGCTGCTCTGATATTAAAATATTCATGAGGCAAAGCGATATCGCTGTGCACATTCGCTACACACAAACGACAAAGAGCCTCCGGTCCTGGTGCTCAGCCCGCGCAGGGTGCAGGCCGGGGAGGTGGTTTGGTGTTTTGCAGAAGGGAGCAGAGAAATTGCAGAGGCCAGAAAGGCAGGCCAAGGATCGTCCTGACATCTCGATTAGCTCAACAGCCGCTGCGAGTGTGTTTTATTGCTGCGATTCCCACTGACATCCTGGCACACCGGCCACACGCAAGTGTCCCCGCAGTGTCCACGGCAGTGTCCTTGGCTTTCGCACCCCCATCCCAGAAAAGCATCCTGCGCGCCGTGAGCCGTCCTGGCTCCTGAGCTGTGCTTCACGGAAGGTTCCTTCGGCCTCTGGGGTCTTTCAGGGCAGCAAAGTCTCCGTGGAGTCCAGGCAGCTGCCTGCTCCACCCAACAGATCCACAGGTGGCGCTGTGGCTTCTCACAGCAACCTACCTGGAGCCCACCCTCGTACGTGGTCTGCTATGGCTGATTTTCTAAGTCTTTCAACCCATCTACACTTATTAATTAACACTCATCTTCTCCCTTCCTTCCAGTACTCCGTGTCACTCATTTCTCTCTGGACACTCATTCACCTGTACCTCTCTGCCCCCAGCAGTCCCTTCCAGCCCGTGACCGGGGCTTTCTGACCCACCTGTCCTTGAAGGTGTCCTGCTATATGGAAGCGACACCTGGCTCCTGCCCACTGCTCACTCCGGGCGTCCTCTGCTTGTCCGGGAGCCCTGGTTCCTTCTCATGGGGAACAGGCCCTTGCCATGCCTATGACTCGTCAGCCCAACATCCTACGCACAGTTCCTTCGTTGTCCGCCTCACTCCGTAACCACAGCTCCAACTAAGGAGGGGTGGAAAGTACCAGGGAAGATTTGCATCTGCCCTAAACACGCTCAGACTCTTTTTCTTGTCACAGTTCCCTCCACAATGTGGCGTGACCACTACTTCCACAGCATTTACACTGCGGCAGGTACCGCGGCTCATCTAGAGGGGACGTGAAATTCCTGTGAGGCTGTAAGTGAGGCGTGCTGTGTGCCGTGCCGTCAGGGACACACACGCACACCCTGAGATCTGGGCACCCACGCAGGCCCTGGCCCCAGCACCGATCACCACCGATACCGACGGTGACTGGAGATGCATCTTCCCAAGGGCGTACTGATGCCTCGAACGCCTTTCCCCTTCCCCGTAGATGGACTTTTCCCCTGCGAGAAACCTGGTACCCAGTAGAGATAATTATTCCTTTGCTTTCCTCCTTAATGACAAACTCCAGAATTATTACTCTCACCGCACAGCCAACAAATCCACTGCGTAACCTGTGGGACTTGCTTCCCCCTCTTCGGTGCCTGTGAAGACATCCTGGGAAGAGTGTGGTGGTCACCTGGTCCACACCCGCGAAGCTCCGTCCCCAGGGGGAAACCTGGGAATCGGCCTGGGCCAAGGGCGAGCGTACAAGCGATTGTGCCGAGTATAGCGACGAGAGTCCCTCTGCCCTGGGCTGCATCGCTCTGGCTGTTCTGAGGTTTCTGACCGTCCAGGGCTCATCCTGTGGGAGCTGAGTTAAGGCCCCAGCCAGGGTGGTGGTGGGAGCGATGCAGCCTTCCCTCACCCCCACTGCCACGGGGCTCAAGGGGTCAGGCAGATGGAGCTAGCACGGTGGAAACTCCGGCAAGTGGCGTGGGAAAGGAGGGCTCTGGGTGTCTGCAGAAACCTGGCAAGCATACCCTTCTGGAAGGAAAAGGCTCCAGCTGCGGGAGTCTGGGCCACAGGGAGATGCCAGAGGTGGGAAAATCAGTACTGTCCTCTGCTCCTCCTGACGCCGCTCAGTCACCAGCCCTGAAGTGGCCCGGAGCTTGTGCCCCGTAAGAGCTCCAGGTTCTGAGAGCCGCAGTGCCAGCTTGGAGGGGGGACAAGCAGGGAGTCCCTGTCCCACCCTCCCCTGGCCTGCCCACCTCCACCAAAGGCTGTGTTTTAAAGACTGACAACTGCAGGTCTTTAGCACAACAGTTGAGACCAAAAGTCCCATCCCTGTGTGTGTTCCAAGTCCCTGCCACCTGAGCCTCAGCTGCCTCAACTGTAAAGCCGGGACAGTAACAGCGCCCGACTCCCAGGCCCACTGTGAGGGTCAGATGGGACTGTGCAGGCAGAGCACTGGGCATACAGCAGGTGCTCAGCACAGCCGGGATAAGTCCCTTTGAACGGGTGGCTCACTGTGCCCTTTCCTCAGGTACAAATGGTCCCTTAGACGCATACCACAGGTCACTCTAGGTTATGTTCACCTAGGGTATGGAATAGAGCTCAGTAAAAAAGCACTGCGGCACCTTTCTCGGCAAAAAATTTATGGTAACATCAAGAGAGGATGACTTCTCATGCCAAGCACACTCGGCAAAGCTGGCCAGGACTCACACCCAGGACTGCCATGGACAGGTGCACTGCCCCAAGTGTCTGGCCGGTGAGAAGCTGTGCTGAAGACAGCTGCTGTGCTGTGTGCCGTGTTTAGTGCAGGGTTGCTGGCGACCTCTCTGCTCCCTCACCAAACCTTGAGCCAGGGCTGCGCCCCTCCCCACCCCACAGACGAGGCTGCGGGTCAGCAGGACCGAACCCAATACGAGGGAGCACTCCTTATCTTAGACCAAGGAGGCGTCTTTTCTCATCTGTATGAAGACCAGTGGGGGGTGATCCGTCAGTACCAGAGGTGCCCACTTCACGCACTGGGTCTTTTGTGTGCAGCTCTGTGCTACTGGGCCAGTGTCCCACTTCCTAATCTGTTCCGGGAACAGGAGGCAAAAGTGAGGAAGTCCAACGAGAACTCCTGTTTGGGAGCCAGGCCCAGCGCCACACTGCGCTGGGGCAGGTCACTGTCCCCGTGGGGCCACTCTGCCCTCCTGCCCTGGGAATGGGCTTCCTGCGTGTTCTGGGACCCCACTGCTCCACGTCCAAGGTCGGTGCTGCACCTGGAGATTGGGGGCCGAGGTGGTCATCTGAATGCTCTTTCCCTGGGGTCACCACGGATGCGCTCCTCAGCAGCCCCTCTCTCCACCCCATTCCACCTATCAAGCCATCGGGAAGGCCTCGGGGCTCCCCTGGTGGGCATGGCCGAGCCCAACAGGGTGAAGGGGACACTGCTGACCAAAGCCCTCGCCCAAGGAAGGGACACCCCAGTCCAGCTGTGGATGCTCTGGGTAATCAGACTCAGCATCCAGACCCAGCAGCAGTAACAGAATCTTACGGAGCTTCATGCCCGAACCGACCCATGGGCGTGGTGAAGGCAGGGGAAATGGCTCACCCATGAGTTCTGGGCTGTGGAGACCTAAAGGATCCTCCAGCCAGGCCCTGCAGGCAGAGCGTGTGTCCAAGGAAGAAAGAGGCTGTGAGAGGGAACCCAGTGCAGCTGAGAACCCAAGGCTGGGGAGGCAGCTTGGAACGGAAGGAAGTGTTTCTGCCCTGCCAGGCTCGAGAGCAGGCAGAGGTCTGGGGCCCAGGGAGTCCAGAAATGCCCAGGGGTCCTGCTCTAGCATCTATAGGCCTATCCTCTAAAGAGCGCTCCTCTGGGAACTCCTGCGGGAAAAACACCCCACGTGGCAGGCCAGGCCAGAGCCACCTGACTGACCTCTCCTCCGGGGGCCGCCCAGCCGCCCGGCCCACTGTGCACTGAAGGAAGTCAGCACACATTCCCCAGAAGACTCAGAGGCAGGGATGCGTGAGGCACCTGCCCAGGGGGTGCATTCTGCAGGCGGGTCAGATGGCCACACCACGGGGAGCCCAAGGTCCATGCCGGGACAAGAGGTCACAGAGCAAGAAAAGCCAGGCCCAGGGACACTGCCCAGGCACGAGGACCTGCTGGAATCTGGGGCAGAACTGTGGGCGCGTACCTGCGGGGCGTGAGGGCTCACCCCGCTCCGACCCATCTCCTGAGCTCTGACTCAGCGCCAGCCCCAGGGCCCGGTATGCGACCCCTACGTGGGCCCCTCCTCCCAATCCCAACAACGCCACAGCGGCAGGACAGACGTATTCCAAAGGCGGAACCACAGACAGATACCTCCAGCCCGGAACCAGGCGCTCCCAGCTGCAGAAGTGCTAAGAGTTGGGGAAGCGATGATCCGGAGGCCACTGTGGAGGTTTCGGGTTCAGGTCCAGGGTTCACGGCAGCCAGTACACCCAGCTCTGGGAGGATCCATGGCAGCCAGGAGGCTGGATGGACCAAGGGAAGCCCCGCTGGCTGGTCCAGTGTTTGGCAGGTTGGGCCTCCTCTGGTCAGCCCAAAATATGCTCGGGTGGCTTCCTCCCTGTGGGAACTGGCAGGCCAGGCGCTACAGCAGCTCCCCGAACACACACACACTCTGTCCTCCCATTGTCCAGCTGAGGCCCGCAGAAGCTGGAGCACAATGAGCCAAGAGCCAGGGCCCCTGCTGCCAGCTCCACTGTGCCCAACACCTCAGACCTGGATGACCCATCTGTCCCCAGGAGCCGCCTGGCTCAGCGCACCCCTCTGGGGCTCAGCCATCTCCTCAGTAAAGGGGGAAACAGCTCTCAGGCTGCTGAGTCACCTGGCTCCACCGATGGGGTCTGCGTGCCATGCCTGTCTGGGGTGTCAGTCTGCTTTCCACGGCTGTGACTACACGACTCAGAAAGAGCGACCTGAAGGAGGGAGGCTGACTTTGGCTCAGTTTCAGAAGTTTGTGTCTCTGGCTGCTCAGCTCCAGGGTTCCTGGGATTGTGGTGAGGCAGGAACAGAGCGGCGGGTGTATGCGGTGGGGCAAAACTGTCCATCCATGGTGGCAGGAAGCAGACAGACAGACAGGGAGGAAGGAGGTGGAGACAACGCATCTGGCAGTGCAGAACCCTCCGTCCTAAACCAGGCCTCCCACAGCCTAACGGCCTGTTCAGAGCCTCCAACTCATCGGTGAGCTTAGTGCCTTGTGATCCAGGTGCCCCTCTGGGCTGTGCCCCTGGATGGCACCGCACCACAGACCGTACCTTTAAACCCGAGTCTTGGGGGGGTACTGCCAGGCCAAACCCTAATAGTGTGCTATAAAAACTATCCTAATTATATATGCAGCTGACGCCAGTGCTACTTTTAAACAATACTCACAGAGCCACTGACTCACAGCCACACCTGCCCGGGAGCTCCATGCTGAATTGGCCCGAGGTTTTAGCTCAGTGCCAAAAATACCTCTCTTGCTTTCACCTCCCATGCCAGGCTCGGCACAGGGCCCGAGGGGCTCTTGGGCTGTGAGCACCCTGCCCTGCCCGCTCCCTGGTCAGCCCATACGCTTGGAGCTCTTTAAAACACTGGGCTGGGGCCCAGGCTGCAGCACATCCAGCGCGGACCTTGCTGGTCTGGTGCCCGGAATGTGGCCCAGGAGGCCCGGGGCTGAGCCTCTCCATGGGCTGCAGTGGGCCCCTGCAGACTCTGTACCTTTCTTTCCCACACCCTCACCCAGGTGAGGGTGGTGGTGCGGGCCGATAATCCCAGTACACCGGGAGGCTGACGCGGGAGGATGGCAAGTTTGAGTTGGGCAACTTAGCAACTTAATGAGGTCCTACCTCAAAATGTTAAAAGGAGGGTGAACGTACCCATGAACCCCCGAGTCTTCCGCCTATCCTGTGACAAGCCCACACTCCTGCTGGGTAGTTCTGTCCCTAGAGATTAGGCTGTGCTTTTAGAATACAACACACTAGATGATTCTATATTCTTTCTCCCTGGACTCTATAATTTAGCATAATTATTTTGAGATCTGTGCAGGTTGTCACACATATCAGAAGCTCGCTGCTTTATTGGTAACAGATTTCACTGAGAGATGTTGCTCGCTTGTTGATTTACTCACCTGCAGATGGGCATTTGGGCCCCTTCCAGTGTGTGTGTGTGGTGTTATGATAAGCCGTCGGGACTATTTGTGAGCAGGTCTTTGTGCAGCTCTGTACCTCCCGGGGCGCACCTGTCCCACTGAAAACGCCTGTCCCTCCACAGCACTTACGATCTCGGGACACTGCACAACTGGCTTTATGCTCTACTGGGTATTGGCTTTCTTCTCCCTGCTCTCCATGACAGATGCTGTTTGGCAAAAATGGACACAGTGTCTCCCACAGCACATGCTTTTCATAGTGCGGTAGGTCACAGGAGCCTTGCACCTTAGTTTCTTGGAAACCCATCTGAGGGAGCCCTGAACCGCCTCACAGGAAGTCTGAGCGCCACGCTGGGGGCTCAAATGGGCCCCAGCTGTGGGTCCCTGCTGCACCCAGACATCTTGCCAAGCCATCTTGGTCTCTAGCAGAACTCTGTGAGGGGGGCCCCACAGATCCATGTGGAATCCAAGAACCATCTAGCCGCGCCCTGCCAAATCGGGTACTCAAGATCATGAGACGCAAGAACACCGGTGGTTGTTTCACACCAGACATTTGGGGACTTTTGTTATGCAGCAACGGTAACCGGCACACTCTTCTGGAAGAGAAGCACAACAAACGATGGTCCTTTGTCCCCTGCTCACTGATACAGTCCAAGGGCCAAAAACAATGCAAATAGGAGGAACCCGATTGGTATCTGCTGAATGAGTGAGTGGGGTTTTTACTAAGATCTTAGTCGCACTAAAAGGACAAGTACTGACCACAGATTAATTCCAGTGCAGCAGTGAGGAGTCTGTGTCAGGCGCGGGACATCGGGTCCAAATCCTGGGACTTCCATGCTGTGTGACCCACTTGGGGAGCCTCCGTCTCCCCAGCTGTACAGCCAGGTGAACTCACATGTCTGGTGGCGGTGTGTGACATGCAGAGACGCTCCATGGATAGAGCTGTTGCAGGCCCGACTCTGGGAGGCATCCAGCAAGATCAGCTCAGGCTGCACAAGGTCATGCAGTGTGTGGGTCCTCCACGCCCACCCATGTCCCTCTGGCCCTGACCAACAGTCATTAGGGCAGCAGCCACAGGTCCCTGTCGGTGGCCTGGCCAGCCTCCGGGGTCTGGGCACATGTCACGTGCCACCTGTGTCCATGGTCACCGGGGGCCACAGCTCATGCTTGCTGAGCTGGGTTGCTACCACCCTACCCCCGGGGCCGAGTCTGAAATGACCAAGGCCTGGGCTCCTGCCAAGTGCTCCTCCCAGCATGAGGGCCAGTGTGGCTTTCATTTTCCTGCCGCAGTCACAGGGCCAAGTTATGACCCCATCGTGGAAGGCTGACAGGAGGAGCTAAACAGGGACAGAGGCTGCAGCTCCCAGGAAGGCCAGGTAGGAGTCTCGGCCAGGCCTTTCAAAGGTGGATGGAGGGCCTGGCTTCTCTCTAACCGAGCTCTGCTCCCTTCTCATCAGCTGGACCAACGCTTCCCCGTGCTGGGGAGGACTGGGGGTTAATAAAGGCAGAGGTTCAAGGTAGGCAGCCTTTGCTTGCACTAAAACACAATCTGTGCTGTAGACGTAGGGTGTGAGGGAGTTTGAGTTCGCTGAACCACAAAGGGGGAAGGTACCGGCTGGGCAGGGCCGAAGAAAAGCTGCTGGATCACACGGCTGGAAGACCAGCCCTGCAGCTCTCCTCCACAGGGACGACGTCCAGGGCGAAGACTGGGAATGAACCACCAAGTGCTGGCACGCCAAGGCCTCTGCCCGCAGTGCACGCCGTGTCCAGACACACTCCTGGTCTTGTTCTTCCCGCCTCCTTGCTCTGATGATCCCAAAGATCCGGGTTAAAGAAGCATCCGAAGAACAGAGAACAGACTCAGAGGGAGCAGAGTACCGGCTCCAAAGCCTCCTAGTAAGGGGCCTCAGAGAAAGTCCTTAACCTCTCATTCTCATTCTGTAGCCGGGGAAACTGAGGCCAGCAACACCAGCCATCCAGCAAGGTTGTTGGGAGGATCGGTGGCTTGGGCAGCAAGCAGCTAAGAGCGTGCCCGAGACATTCCAAGTACCAACACACGCTGGCTGCAGGGAAGCAGAACTCAAAAGTGATCCGGGATGTGCTCACACCTCAGTCATCCCAACTACAACATGGGTGCAATTCCCCCAGCCCCTAACAGAGTGAGGGTCTGGTAAAAGTTCCCAAAACAAATCTGTTACGTGTGTGAGCTCCAGAGGAGGTCTGAGTGTTTTCAGCAAAGCAATCTTCCAGTCTTCACAAGAGAGGAAGATTCCCGTTGTCAAAATCTTACCACATCGCGGGTTCCCCTACGAACCTAATGGGGCCTCAAGTGCTAAGGCAGAAGCTGGAAGGGGTGTGGGGAGGAGCCCGCAGAGGACTCCAGCCCGAGCAAACAGGCGGGAGGGGGTGTGACTGGAACGGGACAGCACAGCCCTTCACACCTGCAGATGGGCAAGGGCTCTGAGAAACCCCAGAGAGGAGTGAGGAGGGCATCAGATCACTACCTCGGGTACAGAAATAGGCCTGGTCTCACGCGTATGTGGGACGTGAGGAGGCTAAATTCACAGATGATTTGAAATGGTGGCTACCGGAGTTTGGGGGGAGCAGGGGCCAGGAAGATCGACAGGTACAAGAGGGAGAGGCTGACTGACCGGCAGGCACAATGTCCTAGTTAGACAGCAGGACCGACTTCCAGGGCTCTATGGCCCAGCAGGGCGACCACAGTTGACAGACAAGGCTTGTGTATTTAAAAGTAACCACAAGAGAGGATTCTGAATGTTTCTGCCAAGAAGCAGTGATGTAAGTTCAAGGTGATGGAAGGATGGGCTATTTACCCTGATTTGCTGGTTACGCAGTGTATACATCTACCCTTTTGACGTGGACAATTACTATGTTTCAGCCAAAAATTTAAAAACTGGAAAAAAAAAAAAACCCTTTCATCTAAAAACAAAAGGGGCAAAGTGTACTGCGGTATGTAGATTGTCAGTTAAAAGAACCAGATTCTAGGGCAGGCTCTAAAAAGGGGTGCATGTAAAATGATCTCTCCCCAGGAGGAGCCTACAGCTGGCCTTGCAGAGCCCCCACCCACAGGATGCTTGGTCACATGCTTCCCTCTGGCCAATGAGACATCAGCAAACGCGATGAAGAGATGCCTTTAAAAGCACTGTGCAATGTAACTGAAGATGTTAAGGATCTTAAATGTGGAAACGAGGTACACAGGTACTCGATACAACCTCTGCAGCTTTGCTATAAAAAGCTACTCTAAAATTAAATGATGATGACTGGTATTTTTAAAAAGTACTTGCACATTAGGACTGGGCCCTTTTTAGGAATCCAGCCACAGTGTGAAGCAGCAAGGGCCCCACGGCAGCTAGCAGGTGCGACAGAAAAGGACGCTTGTCAACTGGATCACATCCGGGGCCTAAGGACCCTCCACGGGGGTTCTGTGAACAATACCTACAAGAGCTGATGGTGCATTAGGATCTGCAGAATTACAAGTCATTTTCTGGAAGCTTGCACTGAGCTCTGGGATCTACCAGCTCTGAGTCTTGCACATGAAGGCTGTGGGACAGAGGACAGGCTCTGCATGGGTCCCCACAGCAGCCCCTAGGGCCACTAGACTGGCTCTGGGGACCCAGAAAACAGCGGCAGCTTCACAGGAGGAATCGCTGAAGAGGAACCCACAGATTTAGCCC